CCCGAATTTAGGGCGGAGTGGAATTTTGTGAATCCCTAGGATACGCAGAGAGAGCGGGATAAAATTTGGTGCTTCTCGCACTGCAGATTTCTGAATGGGGGGTTTTTCGAGGCAGTTTAACTAGGTCGACCTTTTAATCTCTCTATAGGTATATGCAAATTGTTCCCCCGGATATGGAAGTATTTAACTCCGTATACACTACAGTAATCCGGAGCCTGTGTACAAGATCAAGATCATCTCAGTAGGTTTGCAGCAGGTAAGTCTAGACCAGACCGACCCTTCACACGACCTATGTACCCTCTAGCCATGTGCTTCAAGCTGGTGGCATGTATCTACACTCTATCGCCTGGCTGCATAAGGCACATGTATACATACGTTTTTGTCAGCCCCCTTACATACTTCACATCATACCAACATGGTGGTTCACGTGCATGCTGCGATTACATATTCAGTAGTACTAAATCCCAACCAGATTATCTAATTCTTTGGTCTGGCTGTACCGCTTAAGGCAACCAGGGACATACTAGTCTGGTTAGGGACGTGGTAACTGTCTAGTCTGGTTGGCAACTGTCGTATCTTCCATAGCGGTTTCGTGGCACTTCCGCTCGATCAGGTGGCACACAAAGAACGCACATTTTGGGCGAAAGCGGTAGGTTGTTGCTGGCGAGGGGATAGTGCAACCAGATTAGGTTGTTGGTATCTATTTTTTAACTAGTCCCGCAGGCCATCTGACCAATGACGAGCGAGGCAGCGCATCGGTTGTCCAACCCCCAGGGCTAGTCTCGTGCCCAGACCCTCCCAGGGCCTCCTTGCTCTCGTGCCAGTATCTTCACTAGTCTCGATCCATCCGATAACTAATAGACCGTATCAATCACAGATTCAATGGCAGCACCGAATATCGACTATAGGTACCTACCTATTATCACACGGGAGATGAACAGGCATTCGATGAATGCCTAGAAGCTGCGACCATGGCTGTTGCAGATCTCATTGCTGTCACGCAGAAGCCTCAACGGGAATGTCTCTGGGCCGCCGTCATCGAGCTCGTGGGCGGAAAAGCAGAGTTTCATTGTGGTAGAGTCTTATAAGAACTATTTTCTAAGGCAGGACACGGAAGAGCAGGAGGAGCTGTTCACTGATCTTGAGAAGATGTGGTGTAGAAATGGCTTGAAGGGCTTTGGGTATGACTACTTGCTTGGTATTGAGGAGTACAGCGAGCCTTCTGATGAGGAAGTTGATGAGGGAAGACATGGTTCGCGAGAATATAAACTCGGTGTATGTTGAACTCGCAGTAGTCGGCCGGATAGGTATGATTTTATTACCTTGGTACCGTTTGATGTTTTCAGATATTTTTGGAAATACATTGGACGACGCCTCAAACCTTTCTGGGCGACTAAAGCCTTTATCATTGGTGAGGAAGACGTACATGTGGAGTCATATCTGATGAACGCCGAGCCGAATACGAATACTATTCAATCACCAGAATGGAAATTTTAGAATGCGGCAATGATGTAATGATGTACCGGTAAGTACTTATGGAATGTCACGCCATCACTGCACTGTATCTCTGTGATACTGACCGTGAGTTGTAAAATACTCCGATTGGTGCGTTGGCGAAAAACCGGATTGTTTGGGTAACCTGGACGAAAAGGAAGATCCTTTGCTGGTCTTGCAATTGGTACCCGTGGTGTAGTCTGGTTGGCACCCCGTGGTGTAAGAAACACAACCAGGGAGAGCCAGGGTAGGGATGCGGCCGTAAAACAGGACTCATTGAATAAGCAAATACTCAGATTACATGGCGATACAGGTGGAGTGGCAGTGGTGTAGCAAGTAGTGAGAGAGCGGCCCCGGGTACGGGCAATCACCCAGGCCTGGCCGGCCTGGCCTGGGGGATGCGCTTCCTCAAACAGTCTCAATACGAGTAATGATTCACCACCCCACAGGAAAGTAGTACGTCTGTCTACTTACCTACTTATACTGAGGTTTGTCTTAGAATTGAAGTGTCTCCTGCACTGACTTCAGGATTCTTCCAATGCAGAGCCAATAGTAAGAGACAGAAGACGCGGCGCAAAAATCACATTGAGACGAACTGTTTTCAGAATTCGAATACTAGTAAGCGACGGGAATCTATTCCATGACTATGCTTTACGCAGTATCATTGTTGCATGTCGTGACATAATACAGGTAACTAAGGCTACAGCTGTTTGGGAGGATTTCTATAAGTACTTAGTAGTCACTTACCAGACTAGTCACTTACACCAACTGGAGCCACTGTGTAGGACATCCAACTCTACCTACTCTTCTCGCTAGGCTCTCAGATTCCAGTACATACGTCAATATCTCTACTTCAACAGTTAAGAGCTGAGCATAACGACAGCCGCTTCCTCACTGTACGCACCTGGAAGCATAGTAAGAAGGAGGGGAAAGAGGCAGAGGAAGATGTTGGGAAGGAGCAGAAGAAAGGCCATGATGAAGCAGGCTCTCTCCGAAAATGACCTTCACTATGAACCTGATTGCAGCCTGAAGGCTAACGAAGAGTGCCAGTCTGAGGCAATTTCAACAGAATCAGTTTTTGAAAGTACATCAGACACACCCACTAATGCTACCGACACAAAAAACACCTTTCCCCAGTTCTCTGTGGGAATCTCTCCCCTCCATCTATTGGAGATTCCATTGATAGTAATCCACCCTGAAACGCCAGATATGTCCCAAGCTCAGGGTTTACTTCGCGAAGGAAAAGACCGCGAAATTTGTTCAACGATCGACGAGCTGAGACTACAGTCGTTGGCTGTGCGTCAAGGCACCAGATTACTTCGGCTGGGGCTCCACCGGATTGCAACTTCACTGGCAGATCCTGGAACTGATGTTGCCCACACAAAACCAGGCAATATGAGAGAACTTCTAGCCAAGATCCAAGAAGATTGGGCTTCCTCGGTCAAAGAAACAATGAGGGTGGAAATGTCGGTTAAGACATCCGTCCTCTCCCGTTCCATTAGCGGGCAGCTAAAAGAATCCCATCTTAAATGGGTCATCAACCGGCTGAGGCTGCATCAGGTGGAGATGGTAGAGTTACAAGAGGAGTGTTATACTCTACAAAAGGGTATGCAGTCAGTTCTGCATCAGAGGCGGTTTTCTGTTCCCAAATTGGGGTCGGTGACGGAGAAAGTTAGGGATTTGCTTCATAGGAAGTAGACTGAAGTATGTATGGTATCGTGTGCGTTAATGTGCATGAGGAGAAAGCTCTGGCTTCAATCACAGCCCCCTGAACAATTGGGTTGGGGCCTAAGCAAGGATTTTTGACAGATAAAGTGATAAGGGAAGTAGGATGTAATGTTTGTCGATGTTAATACTCTGGCAAGTGGGAGCTGAAGGCGTGTTCGGATACCTGCTGGCGTGCATGGATTGGAACTTTGACAAGGGGAGTGAAATGTAAACGATCTTCGAGGGAAATACACCTAAGTTTATTTAGATGGTTAAGTGACCGTTAGGGATCTGGCGGGGCACAAGATATAGGCGGAATAATTCGACTTTAACAAATCCTATTTTGACGGGTGACCTACGCAGCCTATACCAAACTCTTGAAATTAAGTTTCCAGAATATCAAAGTAGAAGCATATAGCCCAAGAGTAAATTCCTAGCCTTCACTTGCAGCAAATAACCTACCATGGCTGTAAACTTGTTTTGCTTTTGATAAAAGAATTAATTCACCAGCTTGAAGAAACAATAGGGTCAGAGCCACTCCTCCTGCCAGCTAGTTGAGCGGCCTCGGAGACCGGGGAGTATTCGTGCGGTTTGTCTCTTTTGCAGTTGTGCCTTTACCTGTAGCCAAAGAGCGCAAGGACCAGCTCCTGGGGGTGAGAGAATCCTCCGAGAAATCCGGGATGCGGTCGAACAAAGGTCAGAAAATGTGGAGTGAAGGAAGAAGGCAGGGGAGGACACACTGTTAGTTACCCTGAACTTGGATGGCAATACAACAACGAGACTACTTCACAAACATGTGACCTATGCAGCATATATTAGGTCTCTGCAGCTATATAATTCCGGAATATCCGGTATACACCCCCCCCCCAACCAGGGGTCCTCCACCGGGAAGCAGGTAACACACCATCGTTGAGACCACTAAGTATTTGGATTTTCCTTTTCTTTTTGAAAACTCATTATATGTATATATGCGGCCTCAGTGAAGGGGGACCATGGAGAGCCAAGTGTAGCCCCGACCGGATTCGAGTAGATACAAATTCAGTCTCCACAACCTGCAAAGATGGAAAGAAATGAACCCTATGGTGCCTCAATGAAAGGAGATCCTCAGTGTACATCACCCTAGTGGGAAACAAACAATCCCCATTCCACACGCAAGCGGAAAATAACAACACATTCCATCCATCACGCTCAAAACGCTCGGGGGGAGGGGAACAAACTCCTCAAGGCTGGCTGTCCCACTTCGTAGACGGTGGCTCTTACTCGTCAGCCCCCGTGGGGGTTTGTCCAAGTAGGCGACTAGGGAATAGTGTGTCTTTCCCGATCAGTGACCCTCCTTTGGGAGCCAGCGTGCTTGTAGTTAATATAGCCACGTTCTCCAGCCAGCGGCGTATATTTCTGACCCCTATGGTGGTTTTGTTGCTTCTTCCATTTCCCTAGGACTTGGTTCCCTCTTTTCCCTTATTTCTGGCTTGGTTTTGTCTGCTTGATTTTTGTAGCATAGTTTTTGCTGGCTTGGTTTTTCTGGCTTCTGGGGTATCGTGTACTGTGGTGCAGCGACCTATGTGACAGCTTCTGCATATGTGCCTATGTGCGTGCTGAAGGGCCGGTGGTAGTCTCGTACGCAGGTTGTTGGCGGCATTGGAGGTGGTGGTGGTTGAGTCTAGATGTTGTGTCAGACTAAAAGAATTATTTCACCGGCTTGAAAAGCAAAAGGGTCAAAAGGGTCAGCCCCTCCTGCCGAAGTCAGGAGAAGCCAATTTAATCCCTACCAGTTGTTCATCACGAGGGACTGGTTAAATTCCCCCGTCTGAGGGGGGAATCGAACCCTGGCCATCCCGCTCCCCGCATGGCTTTAAGCGGGTACTATACCACTACGCCATGGGGGGTTTGAAAGAGCAGTGGGTGGCAATATGAATGATCGGCGGAGAGGCACTAAACACACATCCTAGCTCGACATATCGACTTGCCCCATACTCTTATGGTGCACCACGACATACGATACCCACTGCCAGAGGAAGCAATACCATGGATTCTGGTGGATAATATAGCCTTTTGCCATCGGAGCAATGGTAGTAATGGTGCATTACCACTAATTCCATGAGAGAAGCGCAATCCACAATTCACTCAAGAAGCATATGCACATAAGTGGAAGTTTTGTAAGGGGCACGGTCTTATAATGGATAGGGTCCTCTGATTGAAAAGCTAACAGTTTCGGGACAGTATCCGCATTGCGATCCCGGATTCCGTGAATTATTAGAGTAAACTGTCAATTGCGTCTGCAGGTCAGAAATGAATCCACAACCCCTGATAAGGTTGCAGGTGCAAGATGAGCAAGATTAGACACCATCTGCGATCACCCACTAGGTACCTAAGTACTCGACATTGTGGATTGAAATTGTTTTGCTTCTAGCGTGTGCACAGATCGCTCTGTGTATATAAAAGGGGAGCAGTTGCGAGGTTTAGCAGACTGTGTCGAGCCTAGGTGCGGTACCATTGTTGTACTCCATCCGTGTCCGACCAACTTGCTATTCTGGAAGACACTTTAGAAGTCGATGGTGATTGTATTACTACTTGAGGATGGGAAACAAGCAGTGCCATTCATGAGATTTTGGTTCATTCGACTTTCATGAATCTACAACAGGCCGATGTAGTTCTATCGTGCACAGACTGTCTGTGGAACTCAACTGAATTTACCAACTGCGTCCTCTATCATATTATAAACTTGGCAGTTTCGATCAACAGAAATCACACCTACTGGGTAGCAAGCCAACGGAATTCGGCGTAAAATTCATAAGTGGCAGCTGCTTTTGAGACACTTCGTGTTAATACAGGCTGATATGGCTTATAGGATATCAATAAGAAACCACACATGTTTGAGAGACCCTACAAAAGTTACAGATGAACCTGTATATTTTCACCACCCATCAACGCATATGCATACAATTTTCCGGTCCCGAGGCTATGCTATTAGACAGGTTCAACTGTGCTTATATCTCTGCGGAGGAGTGGGTCAAAAATTGGTGAAGGCTCGGATTCTATCCAAGTACGAGCGCGAGCGTATACGAGAAAGACGGAAGATGAAATGGCCGGGAAAGCAGGAGAAAAGCCACTGTAATGGAGTTGGTATTGAATTTAGAATCGACAAAATGCACTGGCTTGCTGAAGGCTGTGGCAATGGTGATTGGAGTGTGCACAATACGCTGTCCATCAAGGAGAAAGTCTTCGTTCATTTTCCGATTTTAGAGGAAAGTAAAGTATCAAGTCAATTATAGGAAACATATAAACGTGATGTTCAAAGTACTCTTGGCAACCAGACGAGACCGCGAACTCAAGTAAGTTTGGCGCAGGGAAGGCTAGGCTGCCAAATTAAAGTAAAGTTATATATGTAGTAATAACCGTAACACGGTCAAGCCACCAAAGAAACAGAAACGGTACCTGAGCTATGGTACTAACACCCCTCACCCGCCTCCCGGCTCTAATGAACTCACTCCTTGTCACTTCTGCCTTCGCCTTCAGTGATACCATACTCCCCACAGATTTCGTCCTCTCCAGTGCTGGAATACCCAGACTCGATTCCTTGAGAGGACTTTGGACCTGCTTGACGATGTACTCCCACCATCTCAACGTTCCCGGCCTCAACACCCCTGGTATCATCCGGAATCAGAGATTTCTTTCCACAAAATTCCTTTCTCCGGTCTGCAACCTCCGGAAGGCTTGGCGAATTAATCAGATATATAACTACATCTCTCATAATTGCATATGATTTTGTCAGGATACTCCCCAGAGTCAATGCTGCATCAAGACGAGCAAGGAACCCATCATCCAGTTTGACGCCATTTGGCGATGGACACAGACGGGTAGTGATCGAATCGATCTCATTTCCAAAGCAAAGTATTACAAGAAACAAGAACATTTGTATAATGAGACTGATGATTCCCAGTCCTACTTGAAAGACAGGAAGGATATAGCTTTTATAGGAGGCGGCAATGCCGTTGGTAGTGCGCTCGACATCGGTGGTGAAGTTCCTGATAGGCAATACATAGGTGCCATCGGAGGTGAGGGGTGAAAGGGTGATGTAAATGCTACCCCAAAATAACATTCGGAGGATATTGAAGATGAAGTAAAATGGGATAATGGGCCCCTGTTGCATGTTAGCAAGTCGAGTTCAAATCTGGTGTCTGGAATTGCCGATGGTCACATACAATGAAGATATAACCAAAGGTGACGATGTTAATTGACCAGATAAGCGACAGCATGTTGATGATTAGTGTGTAAGCCTGATGTGAATGTGTTTGGCGTTTCGTGATCCGAGAAATCGATTTGCAGATGTCGGCGACGAACAGGACGGAGCAAATTAAAACTCCGTATCTAAGAAGAGAATCAATGAGAAAGAGCACAGTTAAAAGAGCGGTGCCACTACGGCTGTAGGCAAGTGAGAAGGAAATGCAGTGAATGAGCGTGTGATGTGGATGTGGTGGAGATGATGCTGGTGGGGGCGTGTTTATTTATTGTCTCAGGGGCTAGTTTGGCTAAGTAGTTTGGCAACAGACTAGGCAAGATTAGTCCAATCATTGTTGTAGGAGGTAATGACAACTAGCGTCAGAACCTTATTCAGACCTCATGTAAAGCTAGCGACAACAACGTTCGGAGAAGTTATTTAGTAGGTAAAGGTATTCAACCACGCACGGTAACGTCAAAAAAAAAGCTGATGTACTGGGTTCGTCCATTATCTATAGTCTTACCCTGACATGGTCTTGGCAATTTTGGGAATCAAAGAGCTCAGTAGTTTAATAAAAAAACAGTGATGGGAGGAAGCTTCAAAGGAAACAAGATGCTGTGGGACGAGGAATCAAAGTTGACAATAGCGTCCCCATGCAATGCCTAAAAATTGAGACATTCGAAAAGAGCTTGAAACAAAATATTCCATAGCTGATCAAGGACAACGTCACACTAACAAAAGCCATAGTACACCTACCAACATATTGCCAATTACCGCCCCGCCCTGCAGCAAATCAATCGCCCCTTACACTCCGGCCCTACAGACTCTAAATCAATCTAGCTGTGAATTGCATCCACACTTCACACAGCAGTCAAACAATGACATGTCGCCATGCTCACAGGTGTGTATTGTGAAACTTGTTGCTGGCTGATCTGATGTATATATAGTCTCGGCTAATTGTAATTCATCGACAGCACGCGTATAGATTGTTGAGACGAGTGTATTACCCTTGACAGAAATATTCCGCATGGCCAAAGCTGAATTCAGGCGAACGAGAAAGGATTCAACCGCATTCAGAGTAGCTTCTTTTCGATGTGTAGGGGGATGTGTAGGGGGGTAGTTGAGACCAAGTTGCCAAAGCGAAGTAATACGAGCATCAACAATGATCTCAGGATACGCCCAAGGAGCATGATTATATGGTTTCCAACTTCCACGATTGCAAAGATATACTGTTTCTCGGATCTCGTTATGTCAGTGGGAACTTTGTTGAAGGTAGCCCCACGCGTTCCATCCAAGGCTGTATCCGAAGTGAGAGGGCCAAGGCTGATGCAAAGCATAGCCAAAAGAACCTACAAAGCATGTTGAATATCAGGGGAATTGGCACAAGGCCCCTAATTCGAGTTAGCTGGATATGATCATTCTGCATACATGTGTCGAGTGGGGTACATCCCATGAAGATGTAAGCGAACGTAAAGATGTTAATCAAGCAGAGATTGACGGCATGTTGATTTGTCTTACACAAATCGATATGCGGGTGGATATGCGGGTGGATATGCGGGTGGATATGTGGGACTGTGGGGGATTGACTTTGAGGCACTGGTATAGTGGGTAATGATCAGGTCGAATTGATTGTTGTGCTACTAACGGAGGGAACATTGTGAAGTTATTCGTCTGGACTAGTGGATAGGCAAGTTTTGTTTTCCACTCGCTCCTTCAGTTGGGTATTATGTAAGAGGGTAATGGCGCGCTCTCGCGTACAGGTGGCATGAGACTAGGTGGAGCGAACCATGGGTGAATTTTCCAAATGGAATAGAGCGAATGCAGCTGTGAAACAGAGCGAAATACAAAAGTCAGCTCCCCCTGCCTAAGCCAGGAGAAGCTAATTTAATACTCACCAGACTAACCAGACTACCAGTTGTCCATCAACTAGACTGGTTAAATTCCCCCGTCTGAACGGGGGGACTCGAAACCTGGCCTATCCTGTCCCCCAATGAACTTTAATTGGTACTATTCCACTACACTATAGGGGGTTTGGATGATAGCTTGGGGAGGGAATGGGAATATGGATCGATAAATCTCTGGTGTATGATATATGGTGTATGGAGTCTCGGCAAAAAGGGTTGCAGTCTCGTGGCCAAAGCCCAGCCCCTAGAGTGCCGACTCGGAAACTTGGTACTACTATGCATACGTTACATACCTACTTTACCAGAACCACGAACCCCGCTCAGGATATCGAAGTTAACCTCCTCACGGGGATAGGGCGACTACTTATACGTATGTATTCATCGGCGAATTTAAGATTCCTCCCAACTACAATAAGCCAGCTGATCTGGTTTCTACCAGGGGCTGTAAAACCAGACTACCTACATCGAAGTTCGGATTGTGAACCGGGATGACAATCACCTAATTTCCATCCCTTGTCATAGCCTGCCGGTCTCGCGCATAACCTGCTTTCACATCAAGAAGGGTCCCTGACGGGAGTCATGCAGTCAGACAAATTCAAATCCTAGGCTCGACTCCAGATCCTCCGGAGGGTGAAGTGTGTCGTCATAAGCTAGATATTCCTCGGTTTGGCTTTAACAGAATGAACCTGGCACGAACCATAGTGACATTGGCGGCCTTTATTTCCATTGCACCTGCGCTAGCAGTAAGGAACTGGTGTTTAAC